GGGCGCTTAGAACACGCGCCTTTCTCGTTCGAAGAGAGACACCCCATCATTTTACCTCGTCACCGAATCTCGGACCTCATAGCGGAGCAAGCCCATAAACGTTGCCTCCACGGAGGAACGCAATTGACGCTCCGAACTATAAGACAACAATTTTGGATAATAACTGCTCGAAATTTGGTCAGGTCCCTCATACGAAATTGCGTAGTGTGTGTTCGCCAACGAGCAGACCCCGTAACCCAATTGATGGGTTCGCTACCTAAACCGCGAGTAACTCCGGCGCGCCCCTTCCAGCATTGTGGAGTTGATTATGCCGGTCCATTTAAAATTCTGCCCAAGGTAGGTCGCGGCCAAAAGACCTATAAGGCGTACATTGCACTTTTTGTGTGCCTCTCCACTCGCGCGATTCATCTCGAGTTGGTAAATGACTATTCGTCCGGCGCCTTTCTAGCCACCCTTAAACGATTCTCGGCTCGGCGTGGTCTTCCTTCGGTACTTTACAGCGACAACGGAACCAATTTTCACGGAGCAGACCGTGAACTGGCCAGAGCCTTCAAAGTAATCTCTAGCGATACGAATCTACAAGCCCATCTGGCTACCAACAACGTGATTTGGAAATTCATTCCTCCCTCCGCCCCGCACTTCGGAGGTCTGTGGGAAGCTGGAGTTAAGTCCGTAAAACATCACTTGAAACGAATAATGGGCTCTCACACTCCTTCCGTTGAAAAGTTCACTACTCTTTTAACGCTAATAGAAGCCTGCTTGAATTCTCGGCCTATCGCTGCCTTGTCTGATGACCCCAATGACCTTTCCTCTCTCACTCCTGGTCATTTTTTGATTGGAGGCCCTTTGATATCAGTACCGGAACAGTCAGTGCTGGATCTATCTGAGGGAAGACTCGATCGTTGGCAGCGGGTGCGTCTTGTACAGAAACGGTTTTGGAAAGTATGGTCAACAGACTATTTGCATACTTTACAGCAGCGAACAAAGTGGCAACAGAGCTGTGCTAACTTAGCTAAAGACGAGCTTGTAATTGTACGAAATGAGCTGCTACCTCCTACTAAGTGGGAACTGGGACGGATACAAAAGTTGTATCCGGACCAAGACGGACGAGTACGGGTGGTAGACGTCAAAACCGTCTCGGGAATCTATAAGCGGCCCATCACCAAACTGTGCCGTTTACCCATCTCTCATAACGAATCTCAGAAAAGCGAGTTACACGGCGGGCGGCGTGCCCAATCCGTTTCCCTTTGTACTCGTTTGCGTCGTTTCAAGATTAAATAGATTAATAAGTATCTTCTCCTAGGTTTAAGTTGTATGTGTAAGCTGAATTCCTCGTATATATCTATAAGTTATATATCTGTAAATCGTAGATCTACGTAAGTTAAGTTCATCTTAAAACTCGATCTCGTATAAGGGTCGCGCTGTTATAACACATTTTCTATCTCTCCTTCGGAGAGAGGCGAGCGGCATGTTCGGGAATGAGCTGAGATGGTTATGAAAATAGGCGCACGAGGACAGCAGTGATCGGGCGATACCGAAAGCGCCGATTGCGGTAGCGATCTAAGCTCCGAATTCGGGAGTAGGGGACAGAGTCTGCTCCGAGCACGCACAGTGAACGCACGAGGCTAATACTCTCGTTACGCGAAGTCCGCTGAATAATTATAAGGAGCGTAAGCACACCCTCCTCTGCGATACTACTGCAGACTTTACTGCGCCAAGGCATTGTGACTCATTTTGTGACAGCAAAAACCACTGTACCATTAAACGTAAGCGAACTCTCTATACAGAACTACTTCATTCCTTCTCCTGCAATTACTAACGAAGAGAACTGACGACTCGAAACAGGCTTCCTTATAACGCGGAGATTAAGCTAGAAACATTTGGTCCTTCGAGCCGGATACAGACCGGCCTCCGTGAATCCTGAAAACTTAAAATTCGAGTCGTTCGCAAGTTAGCCGAGTTCAAGAGCTCGAGGAATGTTCTGGGCCACGTCAGCTCGTTCGCCAAGGACTAACACATAAACATTTTTTTCTCCTGTTACGCTCTCGGAGTCTCCGAATTCCTCGTACAATAACAGTGGCTCCCATATATTCTGGTGTCACAACTGGTTAAAGTGCTCAATTCACACACACATATCAAATATGGAGCGACTCCTGGCCGAACAACAAGATGTTATCCGTTCTATCGAACGGACTATTGAAAATTACAAGAAGATGGCGTTGAAGCAACGTACTCCCGCCGTCACAAGAAGCCGGCTGGTTATCTTGAAAGAGCGTTGGACACAATGCCAAACTCTAAACGCCGAGATCAAGACTGTTGCAACTACGGAGCAACGGACCGCTCTCCC